TAAGACCTCAGAACGGTTAAAATAAATGGTTCCATTGCTTTAAGCAAAGCTTAGAAGTGCCTAAAAACGGGAGGGAATCTAAGCCACCAAATTCCCTCTTGTCATATAATACAACAGTCCAAAATAGTTTCCTTAAGAAATTTATTAACTATTTATTATTATCATGCTGCACTACTTATCTACTCTTTTGCTTTGACGTAATATATCGAAAGTAAGCTTGATACATGGTTTATGACTTTTAATCCTTTTCCATGCCTTGTCATCCTACTACATGAAAATCAAATAGGCCTTCACATCAGTTTGTGATGTGCACGAATTTTGGCATTGGCAAAGGAAATCGGACATGATTAAGTGTCTTACAAGCTTCACTAACTTCAGTAACGTTGAGCTGAACACTCTCACGAGAGGCCTCCTGGACTCGCGTGAGCCTTCACACCTCTCAACACGGGTTCTGGTTCGGTGAAAATCACACTGAAACTCATGCACTAATGAGGTTGACAAATAGCGTATTTTGAGGTCGTTTCATTAACAAACTGGGTATTGTACACTGTTTGCAATGGCAAAATAACTGCTGTTCAGTGTGCTATTAGTTTCCAGGACCGAAATTTGTGCTCTTCGTCGACGCAGTCTCTTACTGGTGTGTTTTGTATCCTATGGGAATGCAAAAAGGATATTCAAAGGTGTAAAATACTTCGCCAACTTTGGTAGTGGCACACTCCTTCAAAGCAGCAAATACAGTAGGAGCACCTAACGTTATGCAAAGGGAAAACCCAAGGAACGTTTGATATACAAATTTATAAAATGAGTAAGGCTAGGAAACTAATACTGGAGGAAGCAATTTATTAGAATACAGTCAGATGTACCATCAATAGAAATTATTCGTCTCCATTATTGTCCGAAACAACATTACCACTATGATTAGATGTGGGGGAGCCCTTGCCGGAGCAGGCATGTATGACAAAGTCTCTACACGAAGGACCATTGCAAACACGCTTACAAAATCCATCGCTACAGTCAAAACCATGGATTGAGCCGTAAAAACATTCTGGAGTCTGGCAAGGTCGAAAGTCGTAAAATTCTCCACAGTGACCACCGTGGCAGCCACCCCAATGGCCACAATTGCCACCGTTACAGCGATCAAAAGGCCGACTGTTACCCAACCCATGAAAACTCAAACCACCAAAGGGCAGGCCGCCGAGAGGACTCTGCATTAGCATTCTGCTTGTTGCAGGAGATAATACACCTCCATAGAGATCCATTCCACCTAGAAAGGGTTGTGGACCATATGGGTGACTACCGTGTCCCCTTCCATTTCTGTGTCCACTGGCTGCCCCGCTGACTTCGGAAGGATATACGGCCGCTCCAGAACCAGACATCATGTAACAGCTTAAGACAGAAAGCACCACCAAGGACAATGTCATATGCACTCTCATTGTCTTTGCACACTTGTTTAAGTCCGCAGATTTTGGCTTGCACGTATTTATACCCAGCATTGTTGGTAACGTTGGAGGGGGAGGGCTGGGTTGTAAAAGTATGAAGCAGTTTGTTAAATGAATTTCGATAAACCAAATCAGTGCGTTGTAATTGAGGTCAAGTGAGTTCACTAACTCACTGACACCGAATATGCCGCGTGGAAGACCAGCATCCATCTAAGGCGACTCCAATGTTCTCTCCACAGCCATTTTTACTAACTCGATCATTGATATTGCCCTCAAAATGGTACACGAGAGTCACGGGTGTTTGCCGTCCAATTTCAACTTATGATAGGTGTGAAGAAGGTGTAACAGCAACAACGCAAAGAATGGTCAGTAGTCTTGTAATTACGTCGATCTGGTGATGCAATATTAGAGAAAAGATAAGGGACAGAAATGTAGTCTTGACCCTCTTCAGTGCTATCCTTCCTAATTAGACGAAAGAGGGTTCCATAGCAGA